GGGGGCCATGGGGGGGAGCATAATTTTGCTGTGAACCTAAAACTGCTCTGAAAAATAAAGTCTATTTTTTTTTTTTTTTAAAGAGTGTGGGGGATAGAAAATGAGGTTTGTTATGTTCCCACTTAGGGCTGAACCCTTGAGTTGAAGATCCCTGATTGGATACGGAAGGTTACTTCAAAAGCACAGTCAGTGCCATTGCAAAGCACTGAGCAGAGAGGGGGGCACAGGGCCCTTTGTGCACCAGCAGGTCCGCAGTGAGGTCGCTTGTGAGGGTCCGGAGTCTGATGGTGCTGGCCCATCGGCGGTCCCTTCTGCTGCGCTGGACGTGGCCACTGCCAAGGGCAGGGGCAAGTCCTCTCCCAGGCGTCCTCTGCTGACGTGCTCACGTCAGCAGATCCCCAGACAGGTTCGAGCAGTTCGACCTCCTCTTCCGCTCACCTCAAGTCCTGAGCCTCACAATCCGTATGACCGTGAGCTACAAGAATGTCACATGAAATGCGGACAGGATGGCGCTATCCACACAAGCCAAAAGGTGGAAACCACCCAAAGGTCTATCAGTTAATGAATACAGATGTTTTTGGAATTTATGTAAAGGGTTTCATCATCCCTAATGTAAAAGGATTCCTTACAAGTTGACGAGAAAAGATGCAGACTCCAGTAAAAAGAAAAAAAAAAAAAAAAAAAAAAACATGGGTAACGAATGTGAACAGGGAATTCAACACAATTTATTAGGAGGAGGGTCCAATACGACCTAGAGGTAAAAAGGGTTCCACCTCTCTTGTAGTCAAAGAAATGCAAATGTCAACAGGATAGCATTTTATACTGATCAAATTTACAAAGATTACAAAACCAGCGTACCCAGGGAAGGTGAGGGCAGGTAGGAGGGGACGCCAGTACTACCTCAGGGGAGTACCGCTTGGCAGTACACTTGGAGTCACATCATTAAAACTTTATACTTCCTGTGACCCAGCAAGTCAACACCTAGGAATTTAGCTGACAAACACTGAGACTTTTGTGTATTTGGCTCTGAGGAGGTTTATCACGGCACGGTGTACAGTGGTAAATAGCCAGAGAGAGAGAGAGAGAGAGACCTCTCAAAATAGGAACTGGTTAAATAAATTATGGCATAACATCATGCACTCATTAACACAGTATTTTAGAGTACTCTTTAATGACCGAGAAAGATAGTCAGGGTGTTACTGAATAAAAACTGGTTTTAAAAAAGCAGCATGGTCCCATTTTTATAAAAATAAATATTTACAAATGTGTATTATCTAGAGAAAAAGTACTACAAGCATATACTCCAAAGTATTACTGGTGATTCTTCCTGGATGGTAAAACAGTAAAGGAGTACTTTCATATAATTTATAAGAAATGTTTAAAATAGACCCGCCCCTATTGTCCCACACCTGGAGGGACAGCTCAGAGAAGCTATTCCACACGTTGCTGGCAGGATCTTCATTTTCAAGGACGGTACGTTTTGTATCCCGACCTGCCTCCTGGGTTCACAATTATGTTATACAGCTCGCTTACGTACCAAAGAGACCATACATCCAGATCGCTATGTGGAATGCCAGAGCTCGGGGGACCCCTGAAACTACAGTGACTGCACGTACAGGAGGCATTGCGTCCGCGAGGAGGTCCTGAACATGCCCTGTCGTGAACAGAAGCGCTAGATCCAGCGCATCCTCAAATGCAAAAGATAACAACGCATGTACCCGCACACACACGTCGGTCTTCAGGCCGCCACGACCACGTTCCTGGGGGGCAGGGAGGCAAGCACGTACCTGCGCTTCTCTGACAACAGCACGGCCCAGGGCTCACAGCGAGCGCCTGACACATCTGATTTGCCAAGGGCACGGAGGGTCGCCGAACGGTGGGGAGATTCGACCTAGAACTGCTGGGGGCGGGGGATGTTCCAGTGTTTAAGGACTTTCGTAAGTATGTTAGTCTCCCAACAGCCACAGCTGGGACTTTTAGATTTTTTATAAATTTACTTGCACTATAAGAAGATGAGCCGCAGAAATGCAAAATAAAAAGTTAAAAATTAAAGGTGCGAGAAGAGCGCGTGGCAGACGGCTCGGCAGGCTAAAGGGCTTGAAATTATCCTGTAGGTGGTGGGGGAGCCATTAAAGAGGCTTGTCTTTTGGCTTCTTTTAAAATTTTTCCCTATATTTACTTAAGAAAAATTTCAAACATACTAAAAAGTTGAAAACACTGTACAGTGAACACTCCTATCCACCCTCTGAATTCTATAGTGTTTGGCACTAGGTGCTTTATCACATGTCCGTCCGTCTGTCCATCTGTCCCTCCATCCATTCATCAGTTTCTCTTATTTCTACACTGCATTTCAAAGGCAGTCACAGACATCCGTACACACCACCCCTAAACATATTATGACCTACGGTTCCACATTTGCTTAGGATGCCCTTTTTTAAGGTAAAATTTACATATGGTAAAATACACAAATCTTATGTGTACCATTTGGTAAGTTTTGGCAGATGCAGCCCCCTGCGAAACCCGTACCTCCACCAAAATATGCAACAGCACCGTCACCTCAGAAAGCCCTCTCGTGTCCCTGCCCAATCGATCCCTGTGCACATCCCAACCCCGGCAGCCACAGACCTCGTTTCTAACTCTGTAGGTCAGTTGTGCAACTACCAGAATTTCATATGGTTGGGCTCACAGAGTATGCACTCTCTTTTCATTGACTTCTTTCACTCGGCATAACATTTTTGACATTTACCCATGTTTTTATATTGGCAATTCGTTCTGTCATATGAATATATAAAGGTATCACAATTTGTCTATTCATTCTGCTGCTGGTACTTGGGCTGTTGCCAGTGTTTTGCTTTTGTTTTGCTATTATAAATAAAGCTGCTCTGAATATTCTTTAAAAGTCTTTTTTGGACAGAAGCTCTCATTTCTCTGGAATAGGAGTGAGACTCCTGAGTCACTGGGTGGGTCTATGTTCAGTATTTTAAGCAGCTTTCCATTCCCGCCAACAATGTAGGAGAGTTTCAGTTAACCCACATCTGCACCGACATTTGGTATTGTCAGTCTTTCCAATTTTAGCCACTCTGGTGGATGTGTTGTGGTAGTTCGTTGTGGATTTAATTTGCATTTCCCCAATGAACAATGATTTTGAACATCTTCATATAATTTCCCTCTATATAAAGTGTCCGTTCAAATCTTATGCTCGTTTTTTTAACTGGGCTGTTTGTCTTTTCATTAGCACACAATAGTTTTAAACAGAGGACTGACCAAAGCAGTTTTGTGTTCCTGAGACTTCTCTCTGGCAGCGGTGTGGGGGACAAACTGGAGACAGGAGACCAGTTAAGAGGTTAAGGTAACGACCCAAGAGGGGAGGGGATGTGGACCTGGGCTCGAGCGGAAGCAAAGAGAAGATTCTAAATTCAAATGATACCAGGGGAGAGGACTTCTGGCATGACCCGAGTGAGGAGGTCAACAAATCCTCTCCTCAAAAAGCAGCTGTAACCCCGGACATTCAGAGGCAGCCATGTCAGGAAACGGATTTAGCTCCAGCGAGAAGAGCTGGAGTCTGTGGCCTCTACGACCAGGGTTTCTCTTGCTCCCCCTGCCCCCAAGGTCTTGCAGCAGCCAGTGGGACTGGGGAAGGGCTGACAGGCCACAAAAGCCCGTGTGACTTGGAACACTGCCAGCCTCTCAGTGGTGAGGAAACACGGAGAGCCAGCAGCTCCTTCAGCCCCAGCAAGCCACCAGTCATCTTGCCAGGGATTTAAAAAGGAGGTGGAGAGGTAAGACAAACCACAGGGGGCTTAATAAACTCTCCACAGAGCCTTGTTTGCCCTGAAGCCGAGGACATGCCCAGCAGAGACAGTCTGGTATTGGCTGAAGGCCAGCCATAGAGATAGATCAATGGAGCAGACTGAGTCCAGAAACAAAACCTTACCCTTATGGTCAACGGGTTTTCACCAAGAGAGCTAAGACAGTTCAGTGGGGAAAGGATAATCTAATCAGCAAACAATGCCACAATTGGATATCCACATGCAAAAGAATAAAGTTGGACCCCTATCTCACGCCATATACAGATTAACCCAAAATGGAGCAGCAAAGACCTAAATGTACAAGCTAAAACTATAACACCTTTAGAAGACATAGGAAAAAAAATCTCCATGGCCTTGATTGTTCTTAAACGCCAAAGCATGATTCATAAAAAAACTGATAAACTGACCTTTATAAAGAAATAAATATTCAACAAACAACACTCTTAAGAAAAGGAAAAGACAGCCAGGGACTGGGAGAAGATATTTTCAAAATCATATACCTGATAAAGGACTTGTACCCAGATTATATAAAGAACTTGTAAAAGCAAAAAACCCTATTTTTTTTTTACAAGGCAAAAAATCTGAACAGACTTCACCAAAGAATATAAAACAAGAATATAAAAAGATGTTCAACATCACTTCTCATTAGGGAAATACAAATGAAAAAACGGGGGCGCCTGGGTGGCTCAGTCAGTTAAGCGTCTGCCTTCGGCTCGGGTCATGACCCCGGGGTCCTGGGACTGAGTCTCGCATCGGGCTCCCTGCTCAGTGCGGAGCCTGCTTCTCTCTCTCCTCCCTGCTTGTGCGCACACGCTCTCTCTCTTTCAAATAAATAAATAAAGTCTTTAAAAAAAAAATGAAAAAATGATGAGATACCCCTACCCACCTATTAGAATGTCCCAAATCCAAAAGAGCTGACAATTCCAATTGCTGATGAGGACAATTGTTCATGGGAAAGCAAGACGGTGCAGTTGATCACCAAGTTAAACACAGACTTACCATATGACCCAGCAATCATACACACCGTTCCAAGTGAACTGAAAACTTATGTCCACACAAAAACCTGTAAGTGTTTATAAATGTTTATAGCAGCTTTATACATAAGCGTCAAAAACTGGATGCAACCAGGATGTCCTTCAGCAGGTAAACAGCTAACAAAACGTGCGTGCCCCATCCAGACAATGGACTATTATTCAGCGCTAAAAAGAAATACACTATCAAGCCATGAAAAGACATGGAGGAACTTTCAATGCATACTGCTAAGTGAAAGAAGTTCGTCTGCAAAGGCTACACGCTGCATGATTCCAATTATAGGACATTAAGGAAAAGGCAAAGCTATGCAGAAGGTAAACAGATTAGTGGTTACACGAATAGAAAACAGATTAGGGTTGAGGAAGGGAGAGTGGCTGAGTACCAGGCGGATGGACAGAAGAACGTTTATGGTGACAGGACAGTTCTGCATGGTACTCGGGTGGTGGACACGTGACCAAATGCATTTGTAAAAGCCCACACAACTGTACATCGCAAAGAGTGAACTTTAATGTATGTACGCAAAAGAATGAAACGAAACATCGACTAGGTGGGCGGGCGATCCCAGGACGGGATGCAGGCTGTGACAACTGAATCTAACTGCCTGAGAAACGGACGAGGAGGGAGAGAGGAGCCGACCCAAGTGACCTTAAAAAAGGCTATTTTTTTTTTCAGTATTTTACTTACTTGACAGAGAGAGACACAGCGAGAGAGGGAACACAAGCAGGGGGAGTGGGAGAGGGAGAAGCAGGCTTCCCGCGGAGCAGGGAGCCCGATGCGGGGCTCGATCCCAGGAGCCTGGGAACATGACCTGAGCCGAAGGCAGACGCTTAATGACTGAGCCGCCCAGGCGCCCCAAAAGAGGCTATTTTGACTGGAAACTGTAAGGGAAAGACCAAAGGATTGAAACATAAAGCCTGTACTGTCGATGGTAAAGGTGTTCCTCAGAGAGGTATGAGCGGATACCAAAATTGAGCAAGCACGCAACTCGCTGACGGATGGTAGGTTTCTCCCTGGCAGAGAGGGAAGTTACAGAGAAGCAAGAAAGGAAGGCCAAAAGAAAGCTTTGGGCACTGGAGCACAGTTGGAGAACAGGTATGAACTCATGTTTAGGTCAATATAAACGCTGATGAATAGAGAAAACCATAGGTGCACGTGTATACATGGTTTAGCAGATCACCACACACTTCTTGCCTACTCCTGCCCCCTTAAAGGGTATAGAAGCGGCGACATCCCACTAAGTGACGGACACACTCAAGACTCAGGTCTTTGCTTCTAAAATCAATCACTTCCAGTGAGGAAGAGAATGATATACCGAACAGGACACCCAAGGAAATCTTCCCAGCAGGCAACCGCGTGAAGAAGGAACGAGACCAAGAAAGTGGGAGAGTGCCAGGAGGCGGCGGGAGAAAAGAATGTGAAGCGGCAGATGGCCATCGAAGTCAGATACTGCAGAGGACACACGGGACAAGGAGCTGTGACCATCAAGGCCACTGCGGACCAAAGAGCAACTCAGGAGAGGGAGCTGAGGCTTGCACACGCTAAGGCGTAGACCCAGAGGAGACAATGAGGAGTGGAAACTGGCCTCGGGTTTCTCAGCGGGTGAAAATGGAAGGGAACGGAGGTGGCTGGCAGGGCCTGTTGACAAGAGACTGCCCCTGTCACCTACAAGCAAAACATGGGGTGCCCCTGCAAGACCGCGAGAAATATTTTCTTGAGAAAAAAAACCTATATAACAGATAACATATTATTTCAGAAACAAACTCCAAAACTACAGCTGAGTCTCGTGTATGTGCCTAAGATCCAAAGTTGGAAAATACGTTAATTAGGATCGTTTTTTTATGCTGATGATTATCACGTATTGAAATAGGATGTTTTATGCTCACTCGTGGCATTAGCATGCCTGCGTAGAGGAGAATGTCTGAGAATTTCATCGTGCGCTCATCATGACCATGTGGGACCAGGCTCACACTTGTATTTTTTGCTGGGACCCCCTTTATTTTCTTTTCATGACGCTTATAACAACAAAGGGTATAACTTAAGCTAACAATGGATTATTCTTTAGACGAGAAGTTTAAATATGAGCCTAATTAAAGAATTTTCCAGCACTTCTTCCTTGCTAAAACATGTACCGGTAACAAGCCCCCAGCGTGCCATTCAGCCTTCCATCCGCGCGCGCGCTCCCACTTGCTACCGCTGCCCGCATCTCACCATCTGGAAATACCATTTGTCACCCAGGAGTAATTGGCCAATTTGCTGGGTTTGCCCTTTAAATGTTCCATGTTCTCCTGACACCTGTGAGTTTCGTTTAGTGGTTTTTAGAACTTTTTACCCAAGATGACATTGTCTGGAAAGGTGTCCTGAAGGACAGATGTGACTACGGTATCCTTTAATGTGACGGGAACACTGTTCCACAGGAAATGTACACGGTCCCTGCAAGAAGGGGGCAGACGCTAACGCCACAGCCAGACACACTCCTAACTCATTCACGCAGGACATGCTAAGGCACAACCTGCCCCCACAACAGGCTGCCATCATGCCAGTCACAACCGTAACAACTTAGCATCATAACTACAAGTTACAACATACCATCAAAACAGGCAACCACCGCAAGTAACAATCACAAGTTCCAATCACAGCTTATTTTGCCACATCAAATCCGGCTGATTCTCTCCATAATAGGATCAGATCTTGATGTGTATTAGGATAAAAGGTTTAAATCTTTGGTGGTTTTGGAGGGCGGGGGAGGGCATGACTACGAAGGGCTAGCATGAGGGGGTTTCCCTGTGGTGATGGAACAGTTCTGTATTCGGCATCCTGGTTGGTCGTGGTCACTGAAATCTACATACACGACGAAATTTCATAGACCCACAGTGTGCACATGCACACATGAGTACATGCAAAAGCTGATGTAATCTGAATCGGGTCTGTATGCGACTTAATCACAGTCTGTACCAATGCTGGCTTCCTTTGACAACATACTACAGTTATTGTAAGGTCAGTGGCAGCCTTCAGGGGACCCTGGGTGAAGAGTACACAGAAACTCTCCTGAATAAGTTTTATAACTTCTTGTGAGTTTTAAACTAATTTTATTTTATTCTCTCCCCAACGTGGGGCTCGAACTCACAACCCTGAGGATAACCTCCTTTTTGATTCAGACAATCAAGAGTCGCACGCTCTACGGACTGAGCCAGCCAGGCACCCTGAGTTTTAAACTATTTTAAACTAAAAAGATCTTTTAAAAGATGTCAGACTTGCTATGGGTCTCCTAAAAAAAATGCTCGTCATGATGAGCCTTGCTGTTCCCAACCCAAGGGTGAAAGGTTGAGGGCAGGAGTGGTCCCCAGTCACTGGTGCCGCCTGGGCAAGTGGCTCCGGCTCGGGATGGAGATATTAGCCATGCTGCACTTTGCCTTGGGGGCACCAGGGGGAGCGTGTGGCTTTTCCGAATTGGCTTATAAAGCCCTCCCCTTTTGGGCTGCACAGCCCATATGATTCCAAGTGAGCCCTCCAAGTTGTAAGCAGGATGTCTAAAAACGACCTCTTATATCCCAGAGGCTGAGTAAGAACGGCTCAATTAATCTGGTCGCCATGTAATCACATTTGTAATGAGATTAAGGTGTTTAGACAAATCAATGCTCCTAATTTTACCTTTGTCAGGTTTGTATTCACCACCGCCTAATATGTCTTCAAGATCCTTGTCTGAAAAACCTGGAGAAAACCAAATATACGTGTCAATACCACAACACATTTTTCAGGGACAAAAATCTTGTGTTAGTGTTGCCCAACATCCCCAGAAACTGCCTACCAGTGAAGACTGTCCCTGATGAATATGATAGGCAAACTTCTAACAAGGCACTAAGATTCCCTCCCACGAGAGTACACACCTTGCATAATCTCCCATCACTTGCAGTGTGAGTGGGACCACGGACAAGGTGGCTATCCCCGCTGCCATTAGGTTATATGAGCCGCCAAAGGTAAAGAGCTATTGCGGATGTAGTTAAGGTCCCAAATCAGTTTGACTTTGCCTGAATCAAAAAGGAGATTATCCTCGGCCTGACTCAAGCAGGCAGGCAGTGTGAGGCCTTCCTGAGCTCAGACACTAGAAGCAGCAGAGTTAGTCTTCCTCTCCCAGCATTCCCCCGTCTCTGTCTTTCTCCGTCAGTTCTACGACTGCAAGGAAATGTACTCTGCCAACCACCACACGAACTTGGAAGAGAACCCAAGCTCAGAGGAGACCAGGCCGGGCTGACATCGTGATGGCAGCTCGGGAGGCCCTGGACAGAAAGCTCGGCTTAGCTGTTCCTGAACTCCTCATCACCGAAGGAAACTGAGTTCATAAATGGGTGCTACCTTAACTCGTGAAGCTTGTGATCATTTGTTCTGAGGCAAAAGAAAATAATACAAGGAAACAGAAAAACAATGGATTCTGGCTTAACCACGGAGTACACGACTTTAATGTTCTGTGTGAGGAAATGGAAAGTAGGCTGAAAGTACTGCTGCCACGTTTTTTGAGTCAACTGTACTAGTTTGGAGTGCACTTGAGTGACTGTTTCGGTTCTGAGTTTATCAGCTGCTCTGTGCCACAGAAGACCACTTTTCCTATCAGTGATGGTCAAACTAGGGTTATGGCAGCTTGAATATTTGGCAGATGTTTTCTCGGAAATGAAATGAAAGGACACTGTCCCTTCAAATAAACCACTGGCAAGATCTGTTGCCAATGGTAAGATTTCGAACAAAACTTAGAATTTTGAAAAATCGCTATCTACTACTGTGAGCTTAGCAGCTTCCCAATACTTAAGACTTGATCTAAGGAGATGGGAGTGACCTTAACAAATGTGAGTTCGGGGTACTGCATAATGAAACATGGCATTATTTGGAAGTTCAAAAGACCTCAGGACACCAGTATTTCCAAATGACCAAGGCACAATATATAAAACCACGAATGGGTAAAAATTCCATTGAAAGTCCGGGTAAAAATTCCATTGAAAGTCCAAGGAAGTCCTGGAGGGTTTAATGGAATCGAGTATGAAAAGTTCACTGATATGGTGCCACATTCCACACTACACTGAAACGGTAAGAAACCACCACCAGCTGAGTTTGGGTGTCTTAACGAAGAAGAATATCTACAGCAATGACCTAAAAAGTCAATTAAAATATTCCTCCCTTTTTCAAATGCATATGTATATGAGGCCAGATTTCCTTCATACACTTCAGCCACCCCAATACATTACAACTGAACCCGGAAACAGAGTGAGTCTAGCTCTTCTGCTGAGACATTACAGAAATGTGCAAAAAATGTACACAGAAACAAAAGCCTCTGAAATCCTCAATGATTTTGGGAGTCCAGAGACCAAAATGTTTGTGAAGTACTATTTAGGGTTCTCCTACGCCTTGGCTCTGCTGGGCCCCGGGGGGCTCTGCAGGCCAATGTAGTGAATGAACGACAACCCGGCCAGGGAGCCGCCATGCTGACTTACCACCTCCTCCTCCTGCACTCGGTTTCCTGCGGCCATCGTCTCGATCATTTCGGTCATCCAGGGCATCAGCCAGGTTAAAATCATCATCTGCAGTGGACCCCAAAACATACAAGAGAAAGTCAACTGGTTAAAGCACAGGGAGCTCTTTGGACATTTGCCCCAAAGAGAGCTCCACGGTACCCTTCTTTACTGCCCTCCTCAGAGTGGCAGCATTACCTGCAGGCTTTGCTGGAGCTCTGGTTGTTCCTGGCCTCTTAGTTGTGGTGGTGCCATGGTTCCATCTCGCTAAAATGGGGAAGGGGGACAGCATGGGAACACATTTAGTAACAAAATACAGCAGCCACTTCATGGCTCAGGGATGTTACACCATGAGTATGGTGCACTTGTCTTAGTCTCTGAGGCCCCTCTAAGGCCTCTGACAACCCCTTTGAGGATGACAAAGAAACGGAGAAGGTTTAAATGAGATGAGTTCCATTCACTTTTCTTCAGAGGACTGGTGGTAAGGCAGACATGGTCCCACAAATGACCTGAAGGTTAATGGAGCGATGTGCTCAGCCTAGATCTGTTGGATAGGACCCCCTGGTCCAGGGGGTTCCAGAGCTTGAGCACGACCCTTGGGAGCTTCAGGCCTTGGTTTCCACCACTATCAACCTGGCACCATAACCATAAATAATACTGCGCAGGGATGGACTGAGGTTATGTTCCCAGCAGAGTATGGGAATGTCTTATAAACTGAAAGCAGTATAATACCAACAAAATATTTTATATAAGCATGGTTGTTACTCCTGTAACTAAGGTTTTTCAGCTCAACCAGACTCCTCTAAAAATACGGACTTCTTTCACTCCTATCACAGAGCAGCATACTATGTATCAGTTTTCTAATAGTTTCTTTCCTTAGACATCAAGACTTTGGTGTAACTGTTCCTACTATTAGAAACTGGTTAAAAGTAAAAAGATGGGTAAAAGTATATGATACAAATAGCAACTGTGGGACAGCTGGAGTAGCTATATTACTATCAGATAAAACAAACATTAAGACAAACACTGTTACAAGAGTCAAAGAATGACATTTTGTAATCATGAAAGGATAAATCCAGCAGAAAGATAAAATTTTAAACATATATGCACCCAACAATCAAGCCCCAACATACAAGAAGAAAAAAATGGCAAAAATTGAAGAATAGGCAATTTGACAATTAATAGTTGTAGATTTCAATACCATCCTTTCCATCGTAAATAGAACAGCTTGACAGAAAATCAGAAAGGAAGACTTGAACCAACGGGTCGAAGAAGAAATCACAGCGCAAATTATTAAATACCTTGAGATGGATGAAAAAGACAACATACCAAAACTTATGTGTTATTATGAAAGCACTGCTGGGGGGTGGGGAATTTCCAGCTGTAAACATTGACATAAAAAAAAAAAGGTCTCAAATTAATAGCCTAATCTTTCACATTAAAATATTAGATAGGGGTGCCTGGGTGGCTCACTCGGTTAAGGGTCCAACTCTTATTTCAGCTCAGGTCAGATCTCAGGGTCGGGAGACTAAGCCCCGCATTGGGCACCATGCTCAGCAAGGAATCTGCTTGAGATTCTCTCTCCCCTTCTCCCTCTGCCCTTCCCCCCTACTCTCTCCAATAAATGAATAAAATCTTTAAAAAAAAAGAAATTAAAGAGGAAACCAAACCTACATCAAGCAGGAGAAAATAAAAATTGTGGCAGAAACAATTGCAATAGAGAATATAAAAAAGAGAAAAAAAACAAAGCCAAAAATTGGATTCTTTCAGCAAAATTGACGAACTGTTACATGACCCAAGACAAAAAGAAAGAAGACCCAAATTACTAAATTCAGGAATGAAGAAGAGACATTACTACCAACTGTACAGAAATAAAAAGAATTAAGGAACACTATGAACAATTCTGTTACAATAAATTAGATAACCTAGATGAAATGGACAAATTCCTGTACACAAACCACCAAAACTGACTCAAGAAGAAACAGAAAATCTGACTAGATCTACAAGTAAAGAGAGTGAATCAGGGATTTAACAACTTTCCACAAAGAAAATCCCAGGACCAGAGGTCCTCATTGATGATTTCTACAAAATATTTAAAGAAAAATCAAAGTCATTAAGGAGGGCACGTGATGTGATGAGCACTGGGTGTTATACTGAACTGATGAATCATTGAACATTATATCAAAAACCAATGATGTACTATACCTTGGCTAATTCAATTTAAAAAAAAAAAAAAAGAAAAATCAAAGTCAATTCTTCTTAAACTCCTCCAAAAAGTAGAGGGAATACTTCCTAACTAATTCTATGAAGCCAGTAGTACTTTATACCAAAACCACCACAAGATAACTAGATAACAAATCTACCACAGACCTCTAACCGACCTCTAACTCTTATGGGCACAGATGCAAAATCCTCAACAAAATACTAGCAAACCAAATCCAGCCACATATTAGGATTATAAAACATGGCCAAGTAAGATTTATTCCAGGAATTCAAGGGTAGCTCCATATAAGAAAAATCAGTGATATCCAAAACTACTAGAACAAAGGGAAATAAAACACTTGATCATCTCAATAGATGCAGAAACGCATCTGACAAAAGCCAAAACCATTTCATGCTAAAAAAAAAAAATACTTTTTATCTAGGAATACAAGGGAATTTCCTCAACCTGACAAAGGGCATCTATGAAAAATCCACAGTAAACATCGTATTTAAGGATGAAAGACTGAAAGCTTTTCTCCTAAGATCATCAACAAGACAAAGGAGGTCTACTCTCACCACTTCTATTAAATATTGTACAGGGCAATTAGGCAAGAAAAAAAGTCATCTAGACTGTGAAGAAAGAAGTAAAACTATCTCTAGTCAAAGATGACATGACCTTTACATATAGAAAACCTTAACAATCCAGACCTTACCCCCACCAAAAAAAAAAAAAACTGTCTTAGAGATAAGTCCAGCAAAGCTGCAGGATACAAGATCAATATACAAAAGTTGTATTTCTGTATATCAGCAATGATCTGAAAAGGAAAATAAAGTGATTCCATTATAATAGCATCAAAAGAATAAAATTCTTAGGAATCAACAAAGGATGTGTAAAGATTTGTACACTAAAAGCCACAAAAGTGTTGAAAGAAATAAAAGGAGTCTAAATGGAATACCCCATTGTCATAGAAGACTCACTATGGTTAGTTAAGATGGCAATATTACCCAAATTAATCTACAGATTCTATGCAATCTCTACCAAAATTCCGACTGCCCCCCCCCTTTTTTTTTTTTTTACAGAAATGGATAAACTGATCCTAAAATTCAAATGGAATTACATGGGAGCTCAAATAGCCAAAATAATAGTAAGAACAAAATTAGAAGAGTCACACTACAAACCTAGAGTAATCAAACCTGTGCGATACTGGCATACGAATATATATGTAGACCAATATCACAGTATTGAGAGTACAGAAAGAACCCACATATTTATGGTCAACTGATTTTCAAGAGAGTGCCAAGACCATTCAATGGGGGAAAAGAATGGTCTTTTTAATAAATGTTGCTGGGACAACTGGATATCCACATGCAGAAGAATTGAGGTTGGAACCCTTCCTCACACCATATACAAAATTACCTCAAAATAGATCAATCTGGCCACAAATTTTCAGAGATGACACCAAAAGCACGAGCAACCAAAGAAAAAGGATAAATTAAACTTCATCAAAATTTCAAACCTCCGTGCATCTAAGTACATTTTCAAGAAACTGAAAAGATAACCTAGGAAATGGGAGAAAATACTTGTAAATGGTATCTGATGAAGGTCTAGCATTCAATATGTATAAAGACCTCCTCAGTCATCAGGAAAACACAAAAACCACAATGAAGTTCTACTTCATCACTACTAGGAAGGCTATAATCTTTTTTAAATTGGAAAATAAAGACATAAACATAAAGCCAGAACCATAAAACCCTTAGAAGAAAACAGGAAAAAAAAAAATTTGGCATCAGACCTGGCAGTGATTTCTTGGATGTGATACCAAAAGTACAGGGAATAAAGGCAAAAACAGACAAGTGGGACTACATCAAACTAAAAGGCTTCTGCACAGCAAAGGAAACAGTCAATAAAATGAAAAGGCAATATATGGAATGAGAGAAAATATTTGTAGGTCACATATCTGATAAGGGGTTAATATCCAAAATATGTAAGGAAATCCTACAACTCTATAGCAAGACAAAAAATCATCTGGTTAGAAAATGGGCAAAGTACTTAGATATTTCTCCAAAGAAATGGCCAACAGGTATATGAAAAGATGCTCAATATAACTAATCATCAGGAAAACGTAAATCAAAATGAGGTATCACCTCACACCTGTTAAGACGAATATTATTTTTTTAAAAACCACAAAAGGTAACACGCTGGTAAGGTTGTGGAGAAAAGGTAACCCTTGCACACTGTTGGTGGGAATGTAAAATGATGCTGCTACTATGGAAACAGTACGGTGGTTCCAAAAAATGACAGAAACAGGACTACCACTGGATCTAGCAATCCTACTTCTAGGCTTATATCCAAAAGAAAGGTAATTAGGATCTCAGATGTCTGCATGTCCATGTTCATTGCAACAGTATTCTCAATAGCTGTGAGAAAGAAATAATCCAAGTGACCATTGAGGGATGAATGGATAATGAAAATGTGCTATGTAAATAAAATGGAACATTATTCAGCCTTAAATAGAAAGAAATCCTGCTACTTGGGACAACACAGAGGGACCTGGAGGATACTATGCTAAGTTAAATAAGATAAGCCAAACACAGAAGGACAAATACTGCATGATCTCACTTTTAGGAGGAATCTAAAGTAGTCAAATTCATAGAATCAGAGGATAGAACGGTGGTTACAAGGGCTGGGGGGAGAGGGAATGGGGTGGTGTTAGTCAAACGGTACAAAGCTTCAGGAATAAAAGGGGGAAATAAGTTGGCTAGGATGTGGAGAAATTGGAATCCTTACACACAGCTGGTGGGAACGTAAAATGGCAAAGCCACTGTGGAAACGGTTTGGCGGTTCCTCAAAACCTCAAACGTAGAATGACCACATGAGCTTGCAATTCCACTCCCAGGTATATGCCCTGAAGAATTAAAAACAGGTATTCAAACAAGACTGTGTACACACATGTTCATAGCAGCACTATTCACAACAGCCAAAAGGCGGAAACAGCCAAATGTCCATCAACTGATGAATGAACAAACTGTGTGGTCTATCCATACAATGGAATATTAGTCATAAA